GACTTCTGTTTGCTTCACTTCAAAATTAAAATCTAATATTTAGCCAATATTTAGCCAATAGTTAAGATCCAGCACATGAGCATCCAGACTATAAAAACAAAAAAAAGAATATATTAAGATGGGCATCATCAAGGCACCTTAGTTCTGAATGACCTCTCAACAGTTTGTAAACTTTTCATGTAAGAAATGTCGCTTTGGATGAAGGTTTCATGAAGGTTATTTAGGATAAGATAAGACAGACTTAATTAATCCTAAAGGAAATTGTGGAAATTCTGTATGAAGGTTAGTGAGGGTGTTTTAAATGGCATGGCATAAACTTCACAGCAAACTTAGTGGGGAACTTTACAAAATATGACTAATTTAAACTTCTTACAGGTATGTCTGGTTTTTCAGTTTTAATCATTCCAATAAATCATAGATTATGACACCCCAGTACCGTAGATTTAGACAAAAATGAACAAGAATCCATACTGAATGAGGCCACATATGTTCCTGCAGCTCAGGTTCTTATGCAGTTTTCTCAGTGTTGATCTCCTTCTCTTCAGGGCTGAGGCCAGATCAGTGAGGATGGACTACGAGGTCTTGGTCTCCAGTAAAGAGTGTCCTGATGCACCTGAGGTCAGGTCATTCCAGAACGGAGTCAGTACAATTCTTCCCTGTAAACAGACAGAAATCTTCAAACTAAACGGCACAAAGGACGTTCGATGGATGAAGGTATGAGCAGATCCATGACACTCACGTGTTGCTTTTACTACATTTGTGTGCCTTGATACATGTCTTCTTGCCGTATTTGGTGGATTTAAGCACAAAAGCGGGATGTCCAGTGACCCCGGTTTGTACTTTTAAACACTGATTGTTGCTGTAGGAGTTTTGTCATCACACGAACATTCAATGAGCAGTGTGCTGCCTCTGTAATCGGCTATCTAGTCTGTTTAAAAATACTAGAAGAAGGAGATTTTTGGTGATAGCCTGTGAACGGCAAGAGCAGACTTCGCATAAACCCAACCTTGTCTATATAAGCCACTTTTTAGGGCTTCCAATGTATTCCTTTTTTTTAATTGTAAAAAACTATTTTTGTTTTGGCATTGTTGCTTAATCAGTTTGCTTGAACAACAAAATCAACATCCCTTGCGACACTGCTTTTCTCAATAGTTTGTGCAACATCAGTTTCAGCTCCATGTGCAATAATTTAAAGTACAACATGTCGATGTAGTGTGCTATATTTAACATGCACTTAAGTTGTCTAAGTAGGTTTGATCTTTTTTTAACTTGTTTTTGTTTAACTGTGCTCAATTTTAATATTCATTGTCTTAAATTATTTGGTTGTTTTTGTCTTTTAATTTATTGAAAAATCTAACTGCTATCTTTACTTCTGTGTAGGACTGCCAACCAGTGCGGCGGGAAGGAGAGGCCCCCTCTGTGGATGAACGAGGCGACATGATGCTGCCGGAGGCCTCAGAGAGCGACGCTGGAAACTACACCTGCCTGGTGGACGTTAGCCTGAATGGAAGAACGTACACGGCTGCACGCAGCATCCAGCTCGCTGTCACCGGTATGTAGACTAACGTATGTCTCTGAAGTGTCCTCAGATGTAAGCAGAATACCTGATGGACAGTTACTTCTCATTTTAGTATGATTTTTCAATTGAGTCTTCTTATTTTGCATCGTTAATGTGTTTAAGATATCTGTTCCGTTATAATGGGATATAGTCAATCCCCTGTAATGGATAAATTATGTTATTTTATTATTGTTCTAATGGTTAATTTAACATCTAAACTCTAAGAAATATCTGTGTACTAACAGTTGCATGACTCTGTTTTAACAGATTTTGTCCATAATGCCTGATATTTCTGTTTATTTACACTTTCTGCTGAAGTGATTTGTCTTTATGTTGGTTTTCTATTATTATACAATATAATAATAATAAACCTTATTCATAGAGCACTTTTCAAAACAAATGTTACAATGTGCTTTTCAATAAAAATAAATTAAAAATTAAAATACAAGAAGCACACAGCATCATTGATAAAAGCAGAAAGTTAAAAAAAACATAATAAAATCAGGAAAAGCTCTCCAATAAAAATGTGTTTTAAGAAGTGACTTAAAAGAGAGCACAGAATTATTAGGAAAACATGTAACGAATTAGCAAACTTGAAACAGTTTATAGACTAAAAAACAAAAATTCCCTTTTATTGTGAAAGATATAAAAGTTCATAAAAATGTGTTTTTTAGTGCAGATTTATTAAAAAAAAAAAAAAAAAAAAGAGTTATTATCATTGTAGGTACATCGTAACTAATAGAAAAGTTCAATTTAAATGTATTGCTGTAGGTGTAATATTGACAAAAATGGTAACAAAAGGGAAATCATAAATTAACCAAAAAAAAAATCTAATTTTGTAATTACTAGACAAAGTCTGGGTAATGACCTCCCAGCACAGTTTCTGTTATTTAACATTTATTTAGCATCTGTAGTGTTTACATTGTAGATAAACCAATAAATAAAAGAAAGTGACTTGTCTTTCACTATAGATACACTAATAGCAGCAAATGTCCATCGCTTTAATTTTAGCTTTATCATAAAGTAACAGCAAAAGATATTGTGCTTCTACTGTTGGTACACCATTAAAAAGCAGAAAACATAGAAAGGTATTGGGGTTGCCAATACCTTTCTCCAGTTGTTCTATGGATTTATATCCCCGAGTGCAGCCAAAGGATTGGTTCGGCCAAGCTGGGCTACTGTATGATACTGGGTTGCACATTTATAGAAGCGTTGATTTAGTTTAGTTTATTTAGCTTTTCCTGTCATAAGAGTCAGTAGATTGTGTTATATTGTACATTGCTTCTTTGGGTGACACTAATGAAGTATCTCTTGTGTTTCGTAGACCCTGAGATCCCTGGTACGGTCCAGGTGATCACCCCTCAACAGGACGTTGTCATGGTGAAAGTCGGCAAGTATCGCAAATTCACTGATTCTAACCTCATAGTGACACACGTGTGCGCTTTATATGTTGTATGTGTGCACAGAAAAGGTCTCTACTGACATCGATGTGCAGGGGTTCTGGGTACTGTAGCGCACTAAGGTTTGCTTTTTGCCACCATGATTGCCTGCAGCTTTACCTTGGGTACCTTAAATCCCAGCAATGCTTGGTGACTTGAAACAGGGAAATAAAAGACTAATAGTTAAAAGTTCTGTGATGATAAATTTCAGGTTGAAATGGCGGTAAAATTCCATCCAAAATGGGGTGTGTCATTTATCAGTTGTAAGGTCAACCTTACAAGAGATACGAAAGATTCAACACACAGATGGGTGAAAAATTAAAGAAAAAAACAAAAAAGCAAGAGTTACTGCAAATCAGCTCAGAGTTGTTCTGAGTGATCTCTGCTATGCTGATGATAGTGGTCTCTTCCAGGATGACGATCCTTCTCGGGGTGTGAGGGATCACTAAGTGGATTGAGGACTAAAGAAATGAAGTGAATGCAAATCTAAACTTAATTGAATGCATACTGGAATGTCTCCCATGTCTTTTGGAAAAATATCGTTCCTCTAGAAGAGTTCAAGATCCCGACACTTTGTTTTGGTTTTTCCTTTTATCTACATGCATTTTGGATCGTTTTTAGTTTGGTTTCCAGAAGTATAGCCAACTACAGGAATGTTAAAAGAGTTTTTCAGCTGACATTAACAATTTTCCAGAATGTGTAGAGTAACAGATGTTTTTTTTGTTGGTTTGTTTTTTAATCTTACTGCAGGTACGAGAGCAGAGCTGAAGTGTCTGGCCTACACAGGCTTCGCTGAGGAAAATGAAACTTCAATGTACTGGACTGTGGATGGGTCTTTCACTGAAGAACACAAGGGGCTCAGTGAGTCCTGGGGATTGTGAGTTTCTGCTTCCTGTCATGCTATTTCTGAGACTAAACCTCCAAAGTTGCTCAACAGTAAAACAGTAAAGAGCACAGCGCTGGACTGAATGCACCAGGTGTAAGATGAGTCTCACGATCAGCATTCCAGTCTGAGTAAAAGAAATAAACAGCAGGCTACTAACAGAACAAATGATTTGTGCACAGATGGCAGTGTAACTCAAACTAAATGGACTGTAAAAACACATCTTCTGCCTTCTAACTGCTGAATAAAGCTGGATTGAGGAACTGACTGACCGATTCCTGGTCCTGTCTCTTTCAGTTTTACTGACAGGGGAAAGGTGTACGCCCGGTCCACTCTGTCCATCTCTAACGTCCGTCATCAGTTCCTGAATGTCCCCATTAAATGCATTATAATGAACCCAGGTGGAGAAGATGTCGGCGTGGTGTGGCTTCAAGAAGGTATTATCCATGTTTTGTTCGACATGCACAAGTTTACAAATATTCCTGTTCCCCAGAAAGATTTCTACAGGATGAATCATGCCAGAAGGCCTTCTTTGTTTTTTCTAGTTTTGTTAGTGTGTGTTTATATGTGTTCTGGCTTTGTCTCCAGCGGACCACAGCGCCCTCTACATGAGTGTGGCTGCCTCCCTGGCTACTCTGGTCCTGGCTGCCTCCTTCTTCTTCTTTAAAGTCGACCTGGTTTTGGCTTACAGGAAACTTTTGAGACATTTTCTGAAACAACAAGGTAAGATATCCTCATCTGATGTTGTGCTTTTCTGTGGAATCACAATTCTGGAAAACCATGTTACATAATTTATTACATAACCACACTAATCAGCAAGAATAAGTAACTGAAAAGACGTCAGCACCATAGAATGATCATAAACCTTCTGTCCTCTCTGCAGTTCCTGATGGGAAACTGTACGACGCCTACGTGAGCTTCCTCCATCCTGACAACCTGAGTGCAGACGTGACGGCGAGCTTCGCCCTGAACATCCTGCCTGAGCAGCTGGAGAATCAACATGGCTACTCGCTGTACATCAGAGGACGGGACGACTGTCCTGGAGAAGGTCAGGAACAGACACTCATCTGGGTCACATTTAAACCTGTAATAAAAGCAAGAATAATGTAACGAAGACTCACTAGCAGCGAGAGCTTTCAATGAAAATACATGGATGGAGGCAGGCTCTTAGGCCTGTGTTTCTGGAAACAGTGTTATTGTTGCTCAGAATATTCCACAAGACCCCAAAGATGAAATGTTTTACTGTAATTTAGGGGAAGTAACAGTTGCCAAATAAACAAAGATGCCGTGCTGTTTGTTGGCAAAAATGATTTGTCACACTTTTGGGAAATTGTAGTGATATGACACCTGGAACAAGAAGAACAAGCTGCTGAGGAGAAGCTGTCTTTACAAACAGATTCCTTCTCAGCTTGCAGAGACTGTGTTTTACCCTCCAGTGATAGCCTGTTTTGTTTTTAATCTCTCACAGCGATGCATGATGCCATTGCTGCTGCAGTCCATCAGTGCCGCAGACTGATAATCATCCTGTCTTCTGATGATAAAACAAGGGAAACGTCGCCCTTACAGGAGAACCAAAAGCAGCTGTGCTACGAGCAGAAAGTTGGCCTTTATGACGCCCTGACCCAGAAGGATCCCCGAGTGATTCTGGTGGAAATTGGTGAGGACAGATTGTACTTCTTTAGGCTTTTTGGCTTTTCTGTCTTCTCATTAAGTCACTTTTTGCGAAGTGATGTCAAATCTGCAGCAGTTCTCCTCTGCTTCACAAGTGAACGTTCTGGTCCCATGAAGTGTCAGAAGTTGTAGTAAACTGGCCTGCTGCACTCATGGATGGTGCCTCACATGTATCACACACACAGGTCTTCATAGATCAGATTTTTTTAGCAATGATTTGAAACAGTGGAAACTTAAATTCTACAGTAAACCTCCATGTAATGCACTTCACAGTTTACAGTATGCCCACCTCAGTCCAGTTTGACACACAGCACAGATCAGAGACCAATAAACCATCACCATAACCAGACTGATCTAGATTCTCTTTAGGATCCGACTCCACTCTGGTCCTGAGTCACATCTTAATCATGAGAACCTTTTCATTTGAAGACTTTCAGAACTTCCTTGAGTATCCAGTAAATGAGCAAAAATATACTGGTGGCATCCCAGAAAGCTTTGTTCACACAAAGGCATACACGAAATAAAATTGTTGAGACACTGACCAGGTGTGTTTTTACATTCTGTTCAGATGGTCCTGTGGATTACAGTCGTCTACCAGAGTCTCTGCGCTACATAAAGAGGAAACAAGGAGCCTTGAAATGGAAGAAAGTTTTCCTTGGAACACACAAACTCACTGAATTACACTCAAACAGAAAGTTCTGGAAGAACCTCAGATACCACATGCCCCCAGTGCCAGCAAGAAGACTCCAGACTGTTGTCTGAACCAAGTGAAAAACGTTTTCAACGTTTGGTATCCTAACGTTCTGCGGATGGGAAGAATCAGAGATGTTCTGTTTACATGAGGACATTCAGGCCTGTTTCCTGGAACTCTTTAATTCTACAGTCATCATCCATCGGTCATCATCACCTTCATTCAGTAACAGGAGGATCGTTATAAACTAACTGGACTGACTGCCTGCACAGGGATTTTCATGTTTACAACAAGGATGGAAAAACTTCTATTGGATTTCTTATTGGAATAAAACAGGAATGATACAGCTGTTGAACAGACTTTTCCTTGGTTCTTGCTTTTAAGAACTACAGGTTTAACACCAGAGACGCCGCTATTATTCTGATGTTGCATCAATCACCAGAGATGCGTTTAAGTCTTGAGAATCACAAGCTACTGTATGTGTTTAATATGTGACAATAAGCCTGTCTTGAAGTATTTGAAGGGATATTTATTTTTTTATTGACAAATTTGTTGTAGATTTAAGTACATAACAAATAGTTCTCTTTTTAACCTAGAAACTGATATCAGCCTGTGTTTACATTGTCTTTTTGATGTACTGTGAATTCTGTGAATATCATTCTGAACACATGTGACCTTTTTTTCTGTCATCTCTGTCTTTGTGACTAAGTGAAATGCACTGTTGTAGTATATAAACATTAACAATAATCACATTTGTATTCTAATGATTTCAAATTCTGGTACCAAGTGTGCAGATTACCAGAAAGAGCCTTTCTGGCCTGGTTGGCTTGGGAGTCTCCTGAAGCAGCAGACAGGTACTGGTCGGTCAAAAGGGCTTTGAAAGTTGCTGAAGCTAAAACTGGGGTGTGGGAGGAGTTCTGAGAGGTTATGGAGAAGGACTCGTGACAGGAAATTATAGCGAGTTGGACAGGCAGCTTGATGCACCAGCAGCTGTAATGTGGGTGTTGTACTGGACTGTGTGGTTGACATATACCAGTCCTTAGACCTTCCAACCCTCATCTATGGTCATGTGCTCTGGGTAGTGACCAAAAGAATGAGATCACGAGTACAAGCAGCTGATATGAGTTTGCCCAGGGTGGCTGGGCTCAGCCTGAGAAACAGGATGAGTAGCTTGGACACCCAGAGGGAGCTCTGAGTGGAGAAGCTGCTCCTTCACATCATGGCTCATTTCTGATGCAAAGGGGAGTGACTCTACTCTAAGCTCCCTCCAGCTTGAGGTGGTTTGGACATCTGATTCGGATGCCTCCTGGGAGATTTGCTTTGGAGGTTTTCAGAGCACATCAGCCTGAGAGGAGACCAGGGGTTAGACCAAGAACTCGCTGTAGGGATTCTATATCTCATCTGGTCTGGTAATGCCTCGGGATTCCCCAGGAGAAGCTGGAAAGTGCTGCCGGGGAGAGGGACGTCTGGAATGATCAACTTCATCTGCTGTCTCCACAACGCAACCCCGGAGAAGTGGAGGAAAATGGATGGATGGATGTTTAGATTCTTATCCATCACTCAATAGAACTGCACTGTACAAAAAAAGGGTTTCCAACAGTTTTTTTTTTAACTGTATTTTTTTTTAAAAAGAAAAAGAAGAAAGGTACTGTTACTTTACAAATATTCCTCATTAAATTGTGGATAGTAACTGATTACACTGGCTAAAACCTCTTTAGCTGGTACTAAGGAAAATGCATCCCCATAATCTTTCTCTACAATTGCAGACTTCACTGAGAGTCTCACTCTACCGGTTGGCAGTCCTAAAACACATCCATCTCCAGTAATCCAGCTCAGATCCATGTTTTTACATCAGTATGAAGTTAAAGTCACTTTAGCTTTTACGGCCTTCAGCTCACAAACAATCATATAACAGAGAACTGAAAAGATCAGTCGATAATGTGATTGCAGCTTTTTTGATCATCGACGAAGTGCAACATTCGCAGGTTTCTTTTTCTCAGATAATTCTTTGCTTCATATCATTTTAAACTAAAAACGTTTAAGACTCTTTGGTCTAATAAATGATAATGGACTCTGGAATTTTAAAAGAGACTTTTTGCACAATTTAAAGGCAAAACAAGAAATACAAATAAAATACTGTTTTTCCCTCCATTTTTTGTCTCCAAACACGAGTTAATATTTAATATGATGTGATTACATATTAATATACAATATAAACTGAATGTATTCTTATAGAAACAACACTACACAGCCAGTTTAATATGTAACGTCTAAAATATTGATCATTTGCAGCAGATTACTTGGTTGAACTGAAAAATAAGTTTAACCCAAAGAGAAAATAGCTTGATGTGTGGCTCCCCCTGCTGGATGTACAGAGTAGCATCACATACATGAACCCCCTCAGACCTGCCAGTGGAAAACAGGCCACTGAGGTACCCCCCAACACAACAACATGGGGACGTATTTACACCTGACACAACCTCTCTGGTGTACATGGAGACACATTAGAGAAACTGGTCAAATGTGGAAGGAGTTTATGACTTTATGTTCATTTCCAAACGATATTTAATATTTATGCACTGCGGATTTAATTGTTACTTATCCACACCTTTGATAAGCCACTATCAGCTGATAACACAAAGTCACTTAACTGAAGAAATGAAATGAAAAAAACTCATATTTTCTGTATCTGAAATATCATTAATTATGATTATTTAAAGGTGGATCGGTAGTTAGCACCGTTGCCTCGCAGCAAGAAGGTTGCCGTTTCGCGTCCCGGTGAGGACACCGGAATCTTTCTGTGTGGAGTTTGCATGTTCTCCCCGTGCAGTGTGGGTTCTCTCTGGGTTCTCCGGCTTCCTCCCACAATTCAAAAACATGTTGAGGTTAATTGGTGATTCTAAATTGTCCGTAGGTGTGAATGTGAGTGTGCTTGGTTGTCTGTCTCTAAGTGTAGCCCTGTGATAGACTGGTGACCTGTCCAGGGTGTCCCCTGTCTTCACCCTAAGTCAGCTGGGATAGACTCCAGTGACCCTAGTGAGGATGAAGTGGTGTATAGATAATGGATGGATGGCTGGTTATTTCAAATGGTATCTGACAAGTCCTTTTCTGTTTTTAGCAAATTCTTTTTTTTATCTGAGGATCAACAAAAGACTGAGCCTGAAATTTTTACTGTTATTTACCGGCAGATTCAGAATTATCAGTCGATCAAACAATTTGATTCTGGGTGAGCTGGAATAAAAGAAATTAAGTTGTCATGAAAAAAGGTCCATGTTTGAGCTGACGTCAACAGAAAACTCGACAATGCACAAGTTAACTAGTGATGTTTTCTGAACCACAAGTAGGATGTCCCAATAATACAAAAGAGAGAATATTTGTAATATAAAATACTTGGTCACACAAATGAAACGAAATGACAACTAACATTTTGGATTTTAGATGATTATTTATAGATATCAGAGTTTTTATTCCTTTTATTTGCAGTTATAATGGAAGACAAGAGCAGAGACCTATGTGTAGTCTTGTAACTGTAATCTAACTGCACATTCTTCAAATGCCATCTTGAATATTTTAATTACTTGTTTTTTACAATCTCTAATCCTGATTACATGTAATCCCCCGCACCTTACTAAAACTAATACCATCCAATACAATTTTAATCACAGAGTTTCTCTTTTTTACAGATGGACAAAATAATAAAAACAACTTGTACAAAGTGATGATCATAGTCAGAACAACACATTGGACTGCATTTGTTTTTGCTATGTGTAGGAAATACATATATTATTATATTATCTTCAGTATTAGGTGCCTAGTGCTATGAGATGACTTGTTGTTGTAAATATGCACTATACAAATTGAATTGAATTGACTTGAATTGCATGTTGTTTGTACTTGCAGGTTGGGAGTCCTAACAGTTTGGGACATTGGCATTAATTAAGCCATAACTCAGGCTTCTTCTGCTTTGACTCGTCAGAATGTGTATTAAGGCTGCCAGTAAAAAGTTTAGTTGTTTTATCTTCTCTGATAACAAAATGTGCTTTTATTTACTTTCCTTACAGAGTAAAACTAAATTTAAGAGACAAGATTAGCATCACTTTCTGAAAATGTAAATGTAAATAACAGATTTGTTATTGCTTCAAAATGAACTTTAAACCTTTCATGAGAACAACTTTTAGGCTGGCAGATTGTGAAACACCTTGCTTGTCTTTTTGGCTCTTTAATTCATTCATTCATGCAATTACCTGTTTGGCCGCCTCTAGAAAGGACAGCAGGACATCTGGACCAACGTCCATTCATAAACCGCTCATTATTTATTATTACAGAACAAATGGAGCACAAACACAAAGCAAAGACACAAAGTCGAGGCAACAGGAGGGTTTGGTCAGGAAAAGATAACTTTATTTAGTCTGGGATACATACTCTTGTTATATTCGATTACTTGTCAGATAGAAAACACAGTAGCTTTTCAAAATAAAAGCAAGGTCCATTTAATTAATTATATTTATTTATAGTTTTTTGTTTAAGTAAAACACACTTCAATAAATATTTTTTCTTTGTTTTGTTTTTTTCCTTTCAGTTTTACAAAAACATACAGTCAACGCTTGGGGGAACAACACTGGATTAAAGGTCAGCGGTGGAGACACAGGCCAACACGGGTAACACACAACCGAAAATACCTTTAACAAGTGTTTCACACAAGTTTGTCCACGTCACTATGGCAGGTACAAACAACTCTCTGATTACTCGAACGAATGTTAAAGCGCTATTTGACCAGCGGCCAGCGAAGTTAGGTAGCGTCACACACTGAAGAGCACACACAGAGCAGCTCTGGGTTAAGACATGTGGGTAACAGATACGCTGCAGCAGCCTGATCGGCAGCATGGATCAGTCCACTGCTGCTGTCCGTCAACATCAACGCTTCAAGGAGAACTTCAGCCTCATGTGTTTACATTAATGTGTCTATTGTGGCTCTATGGCTCATGCTGACTTTGCACATTTCACGTATGCTGCAGAGACGCCTGCTGCTTCACAAAAAAAAAGATTTTTACATAAATAATGCTTTTTGCTTTCAGTCTGACTGAAGTTAAACACAGAAATTAGCCACCTGCAGCGGACGTTTGGCAAACTACATTAAGGATCTACATCCAGGTTGATTGCTATCAGATCTAATTATTGACAAAATCATCCACTGGTTTGTTTCAGCAGATGTAACGGTGGAGCACCACATGGACCGTTATGAGGACCGTCGCAGGTCCACAGAAGGGGAATCAAATGAAGACGAGACTCAGAGGACGAGACAGAAAGACCACAGGACGTCTTGAAAGACAGCAAACCTCATTCTGTTGTTGCATTTTAGGAACCAAAACTACAATTAAGCACAAAAGTACTTGTTTAAGTTTCAGGAATCAAAACTCCTTGGTTAAGTAAAAAAAAAAAAAAAATGTATAAGGAATAGTCTGCAACGACAGCGTCCGAATCAGGTGTAGGAGTAGAAGAACTGTTGCTGTAAAGAGTGATGGAAAAAAATCTCCATTTGTTTGTGAATGAGAGGAATCTCAGCTGTGAAACAAAAGCTAATGAATCTCAAGCAACAACCTAGAGATGATGCTTCACCTCCACAACATGGACGAAAAACAACAAGGTGCTCAGCTCTCCACATGCTCAAAAGCCACAAAAAGTCATTTCTTGTGCTGGACATCCTGTTTGATTTGACTTCTGCAGCACCACAACATATGGAAATAAACC